TAATGGAAACCCAACCTGATTTGATTAACACAGCTGCAAACTAATGAGTTCACATCCCTCTCAGCCAACCACAAACAGCCACAGCATCAGATAGGGAGTATATATTCAGCATCTGTCATCTTAGAAAAGTCAAAAGAAAAGAAACAGAGTGAGACTGCGAGAGAGAAAGAGAGAGAGCGCGCGCACAAGAGAAACGCAACACTGATTTACAATGGTGGTGACCTCCTCCCAGGCTACCTTTGCATCATCAGCCCGTGGAGGTCTGCTCGCAGTTCCGTATATTCGGACACTGTGAGCTTGGACCTCCCGGACCAAAACATAAGTTTACTCCTGGGAGAAGTTTGGCCGTCTGACGCTGCTGCTCTCTTCTGCCACGGCCAATTGAGTAAACTCTCATTACGCCTTCACGCGGCGCATTTAAAGGCGAGGAGAGGGGCTCATTTGATTGGTGTGATGTGAATCAGCTGTGTAAAACCCACTCCACGCCTTCTCTCCTCCCTCTTTCCAACTTGTGCAGGTAGGAGGGACGGAGATGGGAAAGAGGAGTAGCTGTGCCAGGCGCACACTGTGCCAAACTTGCAAAATCCGCCTGGCCACACCCAGCTGGCGAAGCGCAGGTGCGCTGCCCCTCTGCCTCGCCCAGTCTGCGAAACTAGAGGCCACAGACTCACTTGTCTTGTTTTTTTAATTTAATTCTTTGTATATTACAGTGTCTGTTATTGATTTGGGGTGGGATCTTTCAGTATTTTCTTTTAATTTTTCTTTCTGTTGTTGATGTTAAATAATTCATATGTGTTTGTAAGATTAAAAAAATCAATTAAAACCACCGTCCAAAAATCAGTTTGCAAGGTGTACCATAGGAACAACCCTGATGCCTTATATCCTGCAATACCAGAGAGCTCACACCAGTGAAACTAACTTAACCACAAGTTAAATTGACTAAAAAGTATCAGTGAGAATCAGTGTTTAAAGATAAGGCTGGAGTGATTTCTCTTACTGTCAACAGATCCCATCTATTAGCACGAACACTGTAGTTTATTTTGACTCAGTCCCAAATACATCCTTCCTGCTGCTGTGAATATGGTTGCTGTTTAAAAATGTACATGAGAGCTATTTCTTAAGATTCATGTTTGAGGTTAGCGGCCTTACACAGACTCAGGAAGTCACAAAGAACTGACACTTTATGTTTCGGTCTTGGCAATGAAAGAATTAGAGAATAACATCAGCCTCATCTCTTAAATGTAAATCAACACATGATGGTGTGTGTTCTGAGGTGATACTGATACTTAAATTTGTTCACTTGCACGTCTCTTTGCATCTGCCAAATTAATTAATATAAATGTAAAATAATGGGCTGAAAATGCCACGCTGCTTTGCGCTAAAGCTTGGCCTCCATCTTGTCTATTATCTTCTCATATTAGCCTTAATAAGTGATTAAAAGTGATAACATAATTATGACAGCAAGACAACTGTGCAGTGTGTACAAGTCTAATCAAGGTTAATCATTCATTCAAAGTGTTTTGTAGATGAGAAACATTCGTTACCTGGAGTTGAGAAAACATGCAGGGAAAAAACGGTTAAATCGTTCATGTAAAGACATAAAATCCTTTGTGTTTTAAAAGTTTCTGTCCGCAGACATTGTTCACGCTGGCTCCGTGCATTCTTACCTGGTTTCTTTGGTGTGCGGGTGAAAGTTCCTTTAACGGTGCGGCAGTGAGAGTTGTCCCCACCGCAAACGCCACATTTGTCCTCAACTTTGTTGGAGCCAATCTCTCTGTCGCAGCCGACTTTCTGCAGACCAAGACAACAATTAGATGAGCTGAGATTCTTTTTTGGTACTGGAAGTGTTAGATTGCCAACGTGGTTTTAACGACAAACTGATGTGTCAGATGTTTTCATTAAGGTTTCGTTTGCTAGACAAAGACTTAGTTATGCTGTGTTGTATCATTGTATTGAATTACTCCATGCTCAGTAATCTTACACTTACTGTGTTTTAATTCTAAAAGCCTAACCAGGGACAGGGGTTGCAGGTAGCAATGACTAAAACCTGTATGCACTGCATCTACTTTGTATTTTAAATATGAAACGTCTTATGCATTTGTTCTTGTCAAATAAACAAGTAAATAAATTGGATTATCAGTGCTTACTGATCACAGAGTTGTGTTTGCAAGCTGCAGCCTGACACTATTAATATAATTAATACAATTTGCAAAGAAGTTTGACAATGGACCAATAAACACGTTACATAGATCCAGTTATAATAGCCCCACCGTGTAGACATTCATTAAGTACTTTCAGTGGTGGGAAGTAACATTTACTTTAGTACTGTACTTAAGTATAATTTTAAGACACTTGTACTTAAGTATTTCTATGTTATGCTAAAGGTATAATTTTATTTTGCTACATTTTGGGGGCAAATATTGTACTTTTTACAGTTGTAGATACTTTGCAGAATAGCTTTAGAAATCCAAAATATGATTATGATATATTATTTTATAGATTAAGTTACACAGCAGTAGAAAAGTTTGTTGAAATCAGCACCACCCTCACCAGCTGCCACATTTAAGTGATATACACATAAATGCCTCAATAATTACAATACTATTATAGTACATATATATTACTCCGAAATGAGCCTGTATAATGAGTACTTTTACTTTTTGTGCTTTGAGTATATTTTGAGTCTAATGCGTTTGTACTTTTACACAAAGTCGTGACTTGTACTTACAGTTTTTACACTGTTGAACTGCTACTTTTAGTAAGAAAAAAGATCTAAGTATTTCCTCCACCTCTGGGTACTTAATATGTTGACTCGTTACTCTTGTACTGTGAAGTATAGAACACCTATTTTAAATACTTTCTTACCCTCCTTCTCCTTGGAAATGCATCTGCTCTTCTCCAAATTTGGCATTTGACATAGTTGCACATGTCATGCCATAATAATTTGCTTTTAACTTTTGCTTTTAATTAGCCTAACTGTTCTACGGCTGTTAGTTGCCAAATTATTGCAGCTGTGATGTATTTTCCCTAAACTGCCATAACCTGTGAATACACTGTGGAACAGAAACGGCATGTACCTAGTTATGTACTTAGTGTACATTGACAGTCTGCGTAAATTAATTCCTGTTGTCGGGGGGGTCTCAGGACACTTTGGGAGTAAACAAAACATCATTATAAAGCTTCTGCTGTATAATAATGCTGCTTTGAAAACAGCACTCTGGATCTAATTACAGCACGTTACAAGCTGGACCTGTTACTGATTGTGCAGTTTGTAATTCAATAACATCCTTTAAAGCTCACAGAACTCAAACAGGCTGCAACTGCTAATGAGTCCCGTTTACTAATGCAGCTTTTATGTGTCAACATTATGGAGTTTAAGCACGTCCTTACCACACACTCTCCACGCACGCAGATACTGTATGCATCTCTGTAGGAGCATCGTGTCCCATCATGCACCAGTTGCTTCATGTACGCCACGTCTCCCGTCTCTCTTGACTGGCAGTACAAGTGGCATCTCTTGTTGGCTATAGTGGATTAGATTGTTGAGAGTTATTAGGTGGAACATTTAATTTGGAAAAACAAGAATATAATAAGTTTTTTTCATATATGATTGTGTTGTGTTTAATATACTGTAACATTAAAAGATCCGGACCCACATACTAAAGAAAGAACAATGAAAAGCAGTAAGCCTACATTAATTTGTGTCAGGCTGTACCAGTTTATAGCTCTGCATCCATGTACTATTTTCTTTTTAATTGCCAACTGCTAGAATGACCTAAATTATTGGTCTTTTTGCACAAAAAACTGACACACTTTTCCATTTCTGTTGCTGCAGGGAATACGATAGAGACTAACTAACACCAAACCAACACACCAAATGCCTGCAAAAAAAAAATTGCAGGCTTTAACTTACTTGGCCTTACTAAGCTCTCAATAAAACTGAATTAAGTCCCAGTTAAACAATAAAGACCCCATTTAAATTGGTACATTATATTGTGTCAATTACACTGTTAACAGTAAACATTTTGGGATCCGCATCCGTAAAAGCCTTGAGAGAGTTGTTAAACCAAGAAGCAGTGACAAAAACATGGCATAAACATCCGCAACAACCAAGAGGAACGGGACTCATAGTATCCTCTCATAACTCAGGAAGCCTACTTTCAATGCTCAGATAGTAACATTCAGGAGGATGATGTTGACGAAGAGGAGGATGTAATAGAGGATGAAGACCGTACACAGACAGAGTGACAGTGTGCAGATAGAGAGGGAGGACAGCTGGCAGAGAGGAGGGAGGACAGTGACGACAGCCGGGGAGATAAAACGTCCTTCCATTTTGTCTCATACTGAGAATTTTTGCAATGAATAGAACAATAAAATTAATCGGACTCCGTGTGCAACTTTTTTTCCAGATGACGGGTTAAAAAAAAAGGCATCTGGAAAAAGACAGCCTCAGTTTGTAAAAGCCTTAAGAGTTAAATACTGTAGAAATCAAAGGTTGCTGTGATTAATTACAGGTATAGCTCCTACACTGCCTTCCTCATATCATACCTTTAAAACAGCCAAACACAATGTTGCATGGTGAGGACAGGAGGGCAAATAAAATAAATATACATATATATTGTGGTCCTGGTGTTTCACAGTGACAAAGCAAGAAATGTACAGACCTTTTTTGTTAAACAGTAAGATCCTTTTGTTAAACGAGAAGCAGAAGTTAAATCGCTATTGCCAAAGCCTCTAGGCTACATTTAAAATAAACACACATCATTTAAGTCAACAGAAACAAAATAAAACTCACAAAAGCCATCTTGTTTCATTGTTTAACTGGTCCAACAATCACCAACTCTTGTTTGGTTGAAATAAACCCTTAGTTCACCCAGTTAGATGTGACAGTATGCTGGCTCTATACACACCTGAATTACTGTTTATTTAAATGGAGTGTGACGGCTTTTCCAGTCGTGATACTGGGGCTGTTTCTGGTTAAACAATAAGCATTTTACTTTTTAACAAAAAGGTCTATCTCTGTATGATCTTTTCCATAATATTGTCAGATACTTAAATTAATAATTTCTTCACCTAAGTGCCATAAAAAGCTCTTTTAGTAGACTTAAACTGACCGTGCACAAATGCCCCGAGTGGTTTCACTGCAACCTGTTTAGCAGCTGCAGGCTCCAGCGCTCTCGCTCAACACTGGACCTAATGTATTTCAAAAATTGTTGTCTTATAGACACAAAAATGTGAAAATAGGGTCCAGGTTGAGTTATTCTTAAAGTTTGCAGATATTTTGAAAACCCAATCTGTATTTGTGTGCATGTTTTAAGCCTTCGGTACATTCAAACTGGTAGACTATTTTTTTCATTCGACTAAAATGAATTGTTTGTATTTGTCTATCTAAAAAGGCAAATTGTACATTTGTGAAACAAGAAAATATTGGTGCATCCCACTAAAGTAAGTCATTTGTGCACACACACACACACACACACACACACACACACACACACACACAAATACTAAGCTTTGACAACAGAAAAATCTGAACTCATACACTCAAACACTGACTCATA